GGCCAATATACTCGTAATCCATTAGAAGTATCTCATTTGGAACAAATAGCAGAAAGTATTGATTTTAATAAGGATGGTTATATTGATTTGAATGAATTCCTGGAAGCATTCCGTCTTGTTGATCAAGGAACTGAATAAATACAATTGATTTGTATTTATCTTATTGAGACTACCTAATGTGATCTGCTCACTAATCATTCATTCAATAAATTATTGATTAATTTTAAATAAAAACGCATTATGTTGAGTCACTCAATGTATCGTATCCATGCGTGTATTAAACCTAAATGTATCATATCCATGCGTATATTCACGTAAATATTCCACGTTATTATGATTTATTGAAAAGTTAACCGTTCAACTTTTATCTTTATTAATTAATATTGCCTTATAAATATGACAATTCGCACATTTATTATATGTTTCAAAATGAAACTGGAACGACAATATCCAGTCACCGGTTTTTTTCTCAGTTTTAAGCTACATTAGAGCACTTCAAGCCGTAGCATTAAACCATAGTACTCTGCATTACGAAATTTACGTCAAGGTAATCATCACTACGTCACCACTCACTACTCTCCTCACGTGATATCACTGCGAAGTGAAGTTTTACTTCCGTTGGTAGCAATTGAAACCTAAACCCAGCTGGAAGGTCGAATTGAAAACTGTCATTTTTTTGCTTATTTTCCTTCCTTTGTTCCTGTTATCGGTATGAATTTATTATTTCTGAATGATTTCGGAAATTTCCATTCAGGAGAAATCCACGAATATGAAATTAAAATCAGCGGAACTTTCAAGTCTTCATTTTTCCAAAAAAATGAAACTACAAATAGTGAAGTTCGCGACAGATAGAATCGTTTGCTTTATTTAAATTTTTCGTTTACTGAAATATCTTTAATCATATATGTGTTTGGAGGAAATGGAACTAATGCGACGTATAACAATATTACGTGCAAGACGATTATGGGTGTCATCATATTTCATGAAAGGTCATTCGAAATGGGATAACATTAAGGATACTAAGGTTTGTTTATTTTGCATATCATTTTCATAGATTATAATCCATACGATATAGTATGATTTTATTTATTATGCATAATAATTTTAATTTCATATTATATTTGATGTTAAATTTCTACTTTTAAATTGAAATTTGTCTAATTGCAACGACTTATAAATTGGTTATAATTAAGGATATTTACATATGGTTAGAGATATGATTAGAATTATCACTGAAAGTACACATTATGAGCTCATCCGATGTTTTAGGAGATGAATTTAAAATATCTTATTGACAAGATCTTTTTAATGCAAAAAAAAACTCAAGTAATCATTCGAATATTTTAAATTTGTTTATTGCATATCAGTTAATTAATATGTTTAAATGATTTGAGTTGATATTAGTTTGCAGCTATGGTTAACAAAAACAAAGTAGCTGAACAATTAATGGCTAAAATGAAGCGAGTTGTTCGAACTGGTGGGCCTGATCCTAAATTTAATAAGGATTTGGTACAATTACAGCTAGAATATAGGAATGCGAATTTTTCTGATGAAAGCTTTCAACGAGCATTAAAAAATGCACAAGTAAAAATTTTGCATTATGGAAACTGTTTTGTTCAGAAGATGGTATTAACATAATTCGATAAATATAATTGCTATTTAGTCAATTATGCATGGTAGAAATTATTCAAATATCTGTCAAAGATTTGCTGCGGAATTTCGAGGCAACTCATAAAAAGGGTGTGAATTTCCTTGAAGAAAATATGATGGCTGTAATTTTACTATAGGGAAATGATTGCTTAAATATTATATCAGAATTTTTTAATTTGTTATATCGAATTAGTACTTTCTATTCAAAAGCTAACAAATCACTACTTAGTTAATCTCAAAGAAAGTGGAAAAAAGCTGATGTTAGATATTTAATTATTACAATCTTAAAAAAAAATTTTTCTCACATTTGAATATTTTATTATTTCAGCTGAAGCCAGTAAGAACAGCCAAGTTTACTATCCTTGGACCTTCTGGATCAATTTTTGTCATTGAATCGGAAGGTTTATCTCAAAAAAAGTTGCTAGAATTCCTTACAGCATCCTTGGATAAGGTATTATTTTGTTAAAAGCGAGAAATAAATTTTCTTTTTGTTTAATGGAGTAAATTTTATTGGTTTTTGTAATTCTACTCTGCTTTTATGAATCAGAATTTCAGATTGGTGGTGGATTTCACTTATCAAAGAACGATTATAGCAAGACTTTTGAAGACAAAGGTGTTATTATTGTTAGTGCTATCAAAGCTGATAAAACATTATCATTAGATGAGGTTAGTAGCAGTTTCATACCCTTACTTTAAAATGTTGCAAAATAATATTCTTTTTCAATAACTTGGTAGCTTGAAAATTTGAAAGTTCATCTCCATTTTACATCTTATAAATAAATTTCTTGCCTGTGGTTGTTGTTTCATTACTTCTCAGAATTCTATTAAATATATCTACCATTTTATAATCAATAGTTAATTTAATATACATTTTTCAGTATATTATGATGTACATTTCAAAATATAGGCAGAAAAATTTTTATTTTTGTTTGCTTGTAAATTGTTTGCATCATCAAACTACATTGTTTATTCAGATGGAGGAAGTTTGTATAGAATTGGATTGTGATGATGTGAATAAATTTGAAGAGGATGGAACGGCATTTTATGAATTAATATGTGTACGGAATAAATTTGCTCAATTATTGGCTATCATTGAGGAACAAGGCTTCAGTGTCAAATTTTCTGCTTTGGAACTACGCGCGATCAATCCGGTTGAAATAGAAAAACATGAAACGGAAAAGGCATGGTTATTTTTTTTAATTGCAGATATGGTTTCATTCATTTTTCAAAACTTGTTTCTGATTCATGAAATATAAATTTTATTTTTAGATTATTCAGTTATATCAAACGCTGCGGGAAAATGAAAATATCACGCAAGTTTACGCGAACATCAGGCCAAATTCTATACCAATAAGGCCTCAAAAGTTAAAAGTTGCATTAAAATGACTCTTCTACTTGTGCTTTAATGGTTGGATGAATGATTCATTTCTTCTGCTTTTTGCTGCAATTTGTGTAACTACTATGAATAAATTCATTGATATCGTGTTGAAAACCATTTCTCATATTGAAAAACCTGATAGTAATTAATTAATCTTTCTCATTATTACCATCGACTTCACTTTACATAATTTATTGCGAATAAAATGCCATAGCTAGTTCTTACGGTGTAACAATTTATATTTGTAGAGCATCTAAAATCTCTAAAATTTAAAAATTTCAAAATCTATAAAAGAATATTGAACAATAAACATAAGAATCATTACATATAATAAATTGTATGAAGTGAATTAAAATCAATAGATGCTAAATGTGCGTTTTTATCTATATTTTTAAAGAAATTATTTGAAGGCTTAATTGTTTTCCAAATTTTAGCTTTAAATTCAGGAAATTTATCTAAAATTTCTCATGGAATTAGAGAAAATCGAGTAAATAAACGGACTAGAAGAGAAGTAAAGGATAATTTTCTAATCTTTAAAGGAGAGGTAAGTTTTGAAAAAACTAACGAATTAGGTCACAAATGTGAAAATTGAACTATTGATACAAAGTGAGGAAATAATGCAATACATTACATTAAAATTGATTTAACTGTATTAAATAGTCGGAATCTGAAGAAAAGTTATTATATGAAAAGTAATTTTCCCTTCGGTTTGTTATTGTTTTGAATTTTAGACGGGCCACAGAAACATGCACGTAATGTTTGACCTTCCATTGATCCTCGACAAAAACAGGATTGTACCTTGCGATGACCATCCATCTGACATGCATTTTGGCATGATCGCATGATACATTGATCCAAACTTCCAAAATCACTAAACTGATTGATCAATTTATTTTCCTGCATAAATTTACATATTATATTTGATAAGAAGTCATATTGCTATTATAATAACACCACTTGATTATATTCGAGATAAGTGATATAATATTATATGATATGATATGATATGATGCAACATTTATTTTCCTGCAAAATTTTATATGTAAATTTTTGTAGAAATATATTATAATATGAACTTAAAATAAATAATGTCAGGAAATGAGATGAAAAAGATAATGAATCATTTTAAAAATACACCAGAAGTATGATTAGCATATCTGTGGGCGTCCTTGAAATTTGTCAAAACTTCATTTTGATCACTAATCACTAGAAATTAAAAATGTTTTAAATGAATTTTTAGAAAAATTTCATTTCGACTATTTATTAATTTACTACTCAATTTTCACTATTCATTTAATTAAATATAAATATTATTTAATAGTGTACTACTAGCAATTTCATGAATCAATCTTATCCTTCATTCCTTTTCAATTTTAACTTCCATTTTCGTACGCTTTAATTTGAAAAAAGTGATTATTTGAAATTAACACTACTAATATAAATTTTTATCTTTATCTTTAGAAAAGAATTCCATAGTGGTGCCATTTTAAAAAATGTGAAAAATTAAAAAATAAACTTACCAAGGAAGTGTTATATAAGGACTGCAGGTAGCTTTACAGCTTTGAAATGTTTTAGAACTTTTTACTAATGCTGCTTGAGATGTTATATTTGATAACAATGTAAATATAATTATAGATGATAAGAAAGTATTTTCACTGTTACACAATGATAATACTATCATTGATATTATTATTATTGTTGTTGTTGCCGCTGTTTGTTGTTGTTGTTGTTGTTGCTATTGTTGTTGCTGTT